TGGTAGCCGCTGGTTCAGTTACGTATTGCTGTCTGCTGCAAAACTTTCACGGCAAACCTCGCCTGTCCATCGCGGACGGCCGTGGCTTACAGCGCAACCGGTGCGACGGCCATCTTGAGCGGCGACGAGCTCCACGATCAAGACGTGCTGGCTCGTGGACGTCACGCCCTGTCGCTGGGCATCGGACCGCGGGCGGGTGATGACGAAAATCGTCGGCGCAACTACCATCCATTGAAACAAAGCACCGTTCACGACGTACGCGGACAACCAACCGGCCATCACCATCCAGGTGTTCAGGGAAAGAAGAGCCGCGACCAGGACAACAATCTGTTGGGAACGTTCGACCTGACCGACATACCCCGGCGCCAGGGTGGCGTGCCAAGATCAGGTGACTTCGACATGGACGCCAACGCGGCATGATGAACGTGTCGGCAGACCCTTGGCCGCTCCAAGAACATCGTTATCCAGAACGGTAAGGTCGACTGTCTCAAGCGAAAGTGATCGTATTGTGGCTCCAGCGAGGCGGAACGTTATAAAGAAGACGAACGGCAAAAGGCCAAGATGTACGGCTAAGAACAGTTGGGCTTCGTGTTCGGCGTAAAGCAAGCGTTGGACGAGGCCGGCGACAAGTTGACCGAATCGAAGAACATAACCGTAGAATACGACGCGGTCCTTCAGTGGTGGACATAATCAGTTGGCGGACAAAGAGTACAGTACAAACTGAAGGAGATCAAAAGGTTGTGCTCTCATGATGAATGCGGCGGTGGACAACCCGGCGGCGCGGCTCCTGGTTAAAGTTTCCCGGGTATAGAGGAGAGTTACCGTCTGAAGTCGATTAATTATTTTACTGCATTCCATCTCGTGAAATCTGTAAAATACTACTGGCAAAGCCTATCTGGGTGATTCTCGTTGTGTATAGATTGCTGACCTGTGAATATGAACGATATAGTTGTTAAGTGAACTGATTATTTATTGTAATGTTATGTTTGTTTTATAAATATATTTATTAGCTGTACAGCAATTATAAATGCGTTGTTTTTATTTATTCCCTAAAACGTGCTCTACAATGACTTGTATTGATACACTGCAGTACCTAGGAGTATGCATGTTGGCGATGATGCAGTATTGGTTTTATAAAGGTTTAGTGTAGTGTATTTTAATAGTCTTGAAATAATAGTTTATGGACTTTAAAATTGTCTTGAACGAGATACATTAATTTGTATTTACATAAAATATGCCAGTTATGAAAAGAAAATAGCTTGTTATAATAATAATTATAATAATAATTTGCATTATTGACTCTATGTAGTAAATTTAAATTTCAATACTTCATATGCATCGTATAAACCCTTATAAATATATTTGTGGTTTATATATGTATACCTCTCACCTTATAATTATTTGAAGAACTTGTTTGTAAGGTAAAGTAATAATTGTGAGTAGAACAAGTTTCTCTAAAATTATCAGATATCATTTTTAATTAGGGCGAATATCAATAATATCATAACTAATTCCTAGTACATTATACACTGAGATATTCAATTTTATGATCATTAGACATATAGGTAATTTATTTTTACGTTTGAACTAATATAGTTATCAACATTTTCATACGTAGTTACATATAAAATTTTAAGTTTATGCATAAACTCGGTCTATGAATTATCGTTGTTAATACCATGTCATGCTGTAGACTGATTTGAGTAGATATAAATATTTTGAAAATTTTCCTTAGAAGATGATTATTTTCAATAAGCTTAATCAATTTTTGAATCCATAAAGCAGTAATTATCTACTAATAATTCCAACTCTTCTTGATATTTAGCTGTATTGAAGAAAAAAGTACAATTTTGAAAATATTCTTTAAACCCATGACAATTAGTTTTTCAAGGGAAAATTTTACTTTTGACAAGCCTAATATGCATTGACAATTGCTATTTGATAATTAGTATTTAATAAGTTAATACAGAATTTAAAATTATAAAACATTAATTTTAGGTTTTAATAAAGTTTATACTTATATCAGGTATTATCTTATAAAAGTATTGAAATCTATGTAACTAGTCACAAGTTAATACTGTAATTTTCATCATTTCTCAATAATTTAGTAGTACAAATCGTAGCTTACAAAAATATTAGTAATATTGTTAAATTATTTTAGGATAGGAAGAAAAAAAAACTCAAATGGTGGTTGAAAGTTGGATTTATTTCATTGTTTTTATCAATTCAGTATTTATTTTTATCCTTTTACAAATGTATACTAAATTTGTTTATAACAATACATCTTTTTGACATGAAAATAGTTGGATACACAGGTTATTTTAATAATACATAATATAGAAAATAATGTTTTACACTAAATGAACGAGTAACAAATTTATAGTTGATATAAAAATTTTATATGCAAGTTAACTTAAAACAGTTATTGAATGTCTAATAAAAGTTAAGTCCTATTATAAAAATAATTTAGACTTTTATTAAAATATTGATTTTAAATTCAGTAAAATAATAAAGTTTAATTTTAACTTACAACCATTTTTAATAATTTTTTTTTTTTTTTTTTTTGATGTAGCAGTAATTTAACTCCTAATTAATGCAGCAAAGCCAACATCATATTTTATTTTTCGAAAAAGAAAATTAAGTACCAAATTTTGTCTCAAAGTATATGAAGATCATTAATTTATTTAGTTTGGAAAATTTGTATTTGGTTTCTAGAAATTTTAAAACAAAAATGGTACTTATTTATTTCATTAAGAAAAAAATAAAATTTAACAATGTTTTCCCCCCTTAATACATAATTTGACTTCAGCCCTGAAATCCCAAGTCAAATTATGAATATGAAATAAATTTTTGAAAGATTTATTGATTAGGTCAAATAACATAAAAGTAAATAAAATTTTACCGTCCAAAATGAAATCCAAAAAAAATTTTAATTGGTAAGAAAACAATTGGGCTGAAGTAAAAGTTTTCATAAACCAATACAAGAAAGAAATTTAGAAGGACGGGTTCCAGCTTTTGGTTTGTTTATTGTACCGTAACCGAGACAGCTGTATTCTCAGCACGAAATTTGGATCAATTAGTAAAAGTCATACTTGCATTAGAGATCTTTTGGCTAATTTAATAGCAACAAATTTTAATTTTTTTTAAATATAATAAATAATATACTCTTATTTACAATATATTGGACAACAGCGAGGGTATTTGTTTATACCATTAATATATACACACTTTATGCCAATGTGGCAAGGATGCAGTACTGTTCACAAAAGGCTTGATCCAAGAACTTAAGTAACCTAAGTGAGATACAGTACTACCATGCAAGGCGACATAAATTTCTTGTGAAATGAAAATAAAATAATACTAATAATAATAATAATAATAAAAAAAAACAAGAGAAGAGTTTTTAGTTATGAATTTACGAAATTAAAAAAAAGAATTTTATGTTTACTGCAAATAGTTTTTAAATCAAATTTTTCTTTGGGTTGATTGAAAAATAAAATGTATATATATATATATATCTTGGGTTCTTTGAGTCTTAAAGTTAAGTGTTTAGGTTTTGAGTTTGTTATAGATACAAATATTTACAATAGTTGGGGAAGGAGAATTTTTCATTTACTAAGGTCCATTTCTTCATTAATATCTACATCTTCTGGTCGCGCAACATATAACCTTGGATCAATTACCTGCAAGAAAAAAGTAATAATACTCATTTATTGTTAAATATAACATTTTTTAAAAATATATTACTATTTTTAAATTATAAAAATAACTATCAAAACAAAGTCATTGAAAAAAAGTATGTTTTACTAAAACTTACCATAAAAAACTCTATTTTCTTTAAATATACAAACATTAATAAAGAACTTAGATACAACAATAATTAAACAAATAAACTTTAGCCAATGCAACAATGAATATTTATAGTCTAACTTAGCAAATCAAAAAAGTAAAAAGATACATCTCATTAATAATTATGATGGACCAAGCCTGGATTAAAGATTGATTGGGCCCCAAGACAATAAGACATCATAAACTTAATGGGCCCCCTTAAACTTCAAAAAAATTATATCACTACATTTTAAAAATCACATATTATTGTATAATTTTGTCAGCTATGTATATATAAATTAATAGTTAAATAATAATTTATTATTTACGTATTATATATATAAACACTGTATTTGTTAAAAAAATAACAATTTAATATTTTTTATCATTCAGTAGTTTTTCGTAATATTAAATAAAAAACATTTTAATTTTACTATTAATAATTATCTACTGTACCCAGTAACATCATTTTTTTTTTTTAACTCTTTCATCAAATGCAATAAAAATATATATTTATATTTGAAATAAAGATGGCTCCCCAAAATTAGTGCACCCCAAGATAGTGCCTCCCCCTATTAATTTGGGCTTTTGTGGACTCTAAATTCAACAATTTTCTACAACACAAATTTGTGAAGTTTTGAAAAAAGACAAATATATTTAAAAGCTTTTGATAGATTACATAATACAGATAGCAATTGCATTGAGAATATCCCATGATTATGTCACATTAACCCGATGAAATTATCCATTTCATGAAAAGTTATTCAGTTCAATAAGTGGATATATGTTTTCACAAAATAAATCCTAAAATCTATAATTGTTTATTTTTTTCTTGAAATGAAACAAAACATAATATACATTTAATACATAGTATATTACAGTTTCATATTATATGAATACCCAGTAGGGTCTCATTAATACAAACACAGGATAATTCAAAAGTGCTTGGAAATTGCCACATTGCTATACTAATACAGACGAATATCATAATTCATAGTAATATGCAATATATTTAAATATGTACATATTAACTGGCTAAATATACATAGTAATAATGATTTTGATTGTATTCATTGTTTTTCAATAGAAAACTTTATGAATTAATACTGTAGTATAGGTAAAAATAATTTTCAAAATTTAAATTGCAAGAAAATTAATTTTTTTTTAAATCATAAGTAACCCAAACAAATTGTTAATCTAAATGATTCCTTACCCCAATTTAGTTCAGATTAATGAAATCCCGCTGTACCATACTTCAAAATAAATATAAATTTTTTAACTATAATACAATTATGTCTTAATTAAGAATATGAATTATATTAGAATAATTAGTTGAATCATAACAAATAACTTAAATATCTTAGTCTTCCTTGATAAAACAACAATTACTACTTATTTATAATTATCTATACTATATTATTTTGAAGTATAGTTTGTGTATTAAACATATAGTATAAAACCAATAGTGGTATAATACATATTAAGTCTATATTATATTTTGTTTCATCAAGTAAATGGATATTTAAAAAAAAAATTACACATCAAATTTTATAGGCATTTATTTCACGAAAATATATCCTTTTTTAATTGTTACCGAGTAGAAAAATCTGTTTCTATTTCTTAAATGGATAATTTCACCAAGTGGACATAACATACACACATGAATAGACACAAAAATATAAGAACTCTTACAAAATTTCCTTACATACTGCATGATAATAAATAAATATTTCATGTAATTTCTATAACAATTCTAATAGTGAATAGTTTTAAATGAGATGATAAATTAATATTTAATACTTATTAGGATCTTTTAATAAATAAATATTTATTAGTAATTAACATACCTTAGGTATTGGTTTTATTTCTGTGCCTAATTCTTGTTCAATACGGTGTAAAGCAAACCGGTCATCATAAGTAATAAGATTGATGGCTATACCAAGATGTCCAAATCGGCCTGACCTACCAATACGATGCAAATATGTCTCTGCCATTTTGGGAAAATCAAAGTTTATTACAACATTTACAGCTTGTACATCAATACCTCTCGTAAATAAGTCTACAAGAAAAATAATTATAATATTAGTATCAAGATATCAACATGAATTTAAGTTTCTAGAATTAATTATATTACCAGAACAAACAAGATTGCGGCAAGATCCTTTTCTAAAATCATGAAATACACGATTACGATGTGCTTGGGCCATTTTAGCATGAATGTAATAACAACAATAGCCGAGATCAGTAATTTTTTTAGCAAGTAACTCCACACGTTGTGTTGAATTACAAAATATTATACTTTGATTTATTTGAAGCTGAAATATAGGATAAAAAATGTAAGCATTTTGTTGATAAAAAATAAATAATTACTTATGATTCTAATATTGCACACCTTAGAAAACAAAGTATTCAAACAATGAACTTTTTGTTTTTCTTGAACAAATGCATAATACTGAGTAACTCCTTTCAAGGTTAACTCTTCCATTAAATTTATTTCATATGGACTACGTAAATGTTTATCCTAAAACAATACAATAAAATTCTATTATTTTACATATGATATGGTTAAGTATACATTATTCCAAATGAGTCTGGTAAATCGCTGTGATTAGGCTGTAGTTATCAGTATATGTTGTTATTCTATCCAGACCTTTTTGGAATAGAGATTAATTTCATTGATTATTTTTTTAGTACGCACCATAAATTGTTTGACAGTCAGAGGGAATGTGGCAGAATACAGAAGGATTTGCCTCTCTGACGGTAACCTTGAAATTATGTGATCTAACATACCTTTAAAATCTTGTGATAAAAGTTTATCTGCCTAAAAACAAAAATAATTTAATATAATGAAATTGAATAAAGAACTAAAAAAATGTATAGTTACCTCATCTAAAACTAAGATCCGACAATGATCAACTTTAGCTATGCTTTTATCTAGGAGATCCAATATTCTTCCAGGAGTGGCAATAATAACATGCACTAAAAATAAAATATTAAGACTATATTAATGAAGCATAATATATAACAAATCAAATTAATAAAATTCTTAATATACTGATTGGAATAAAACAGTAGTTCATGATAACACAACAAGTGATGAATACTTTTAACTTGGATGCAATATATAAGCATAAAAAAAAAAGAGCAGGCAGAGACGAATTTTACCAAACCAGTGTGAACATTGTTTTTTTTTGTTAATCAAAATAACAATGAATGATTTGAAACTCAAAACATTGAAGTTTAATTAAAATTAAAAGAACAATATTAAAAGTAAACTTATGATTTTATAGTTTTAAAACAAAAAGTTAACCTAAATTTAAAAAGATTAAAATGTATAGATTTAAATATAAAAAAAAATGCTAATGCTATTCTCTTATTTTGATAAGACTTTTGTTACAAGTGATATAACACAACAATGTTAAAAGTTTAATATAAATGAAACTTTCAAATATTTAATTCAAGTTATAAATTAATGTGTTCATTAAGAAAGACTGTTGGTAATAACACAAAAGTACTTTCATATTGAATTCAAACCTAAAATTTATTTAGTTATAAAAATTGGTTGAAATATATTTCATCATTTACTTAGCTTAAAGAAATTAATGGAAAAAATATAAAAGTATGAAGTAAATACAATTTTTAGTACAATAACTAGGCACTATTATAATTACCTATGAATAATACACATAATCTTTCCCAAGTTACAGTAATAAATTGCTCTCAAAAATTATTTCTCACTCAAAAAAATTAAGTGAAGGGGAATCCAAGTATATCATCATAGAGCAGATTAATTTACAACTTAAGTACATAAAATTATATTTTGGTAAATAGTTAATACACATACTAAAATTTTTAATTTAAATACATTTATATAAATATAAGGTATAACAACTATGAATTTCAAATCTAAAACTATAACTCTCAAACATTATATCTCACTCATATATTTGAAGTGAAGGGGAATCCAAAATGTATCATCATAGAGGAAAATATATTCTAACAAGCAATAACAATTATTTAAGTAACCATGAAACAAGATTCAAATATTTAATACAAAGTAGGAGGAAAAAAATGTCTATTTTATTTAAATTTATTACTACAATGACAAAAAATGTGTTATCAGAATATAAATATATAATTTATAACATGATTTTGGAATGAAGCTCTCAAATATTAAATCTCACTCATATATTTTAAGTGAAGGGGAATCCAAATACTTTCATCATTGAGCAACAATAAAACTTAATTTTTAAAATTATAAGATGCAATATTTATATTAATGAAGATAAACATTTTTTAAGTAAAAATAAAATATTTAATAAGTAGTTATTTATTTTTAATGCAACCATTATTATAAATCTTTTATGAAGAAGATACTTATTGTTATTACTTTAATTTGAAATCTTACCTCTTTGGTAAATACGAAGAATATCATCCTTAAGATTAGTTCCACCAGTAGTCACCATGACCCTAATGTCCAAGTGCTTTGCAAGTTCAATACATATTTGACTAGTTTGTAACGCTAATTCTCTGGTTGGCACAATCACAAGTGCTAAAAAATAAAACATTCATACAATTTTATAACAAGTAAATAATTAAAATAATAAGCAAATTTATACCTTGTATAACATCTAGTTTTGGGTCTACTTGCTCAAGTACAGGTATAGAATAAGCTCCAGTTTTTCCTGTGCCATTTTTTGCTCTCGCTAATATATCTTTGCCAGAAAGTGCTATTGGAATACTTGCTTCTTGAATAGGACTAGGTTTTTCCCAACCTTTTTCAAATATACCCATTAGTAATTCTCGTTTTAAACAGAATTCTTCAAAATCATTTCCTTTGGTTGAAGTGACATCCTACAATCATATTTTATATGTTAATAATTTAAATCACTAAGTATTCATCAAATATTTTGCATACACTTGTTTTAATCCGGTGATCCTGAGGTGGAAGTTTAAGTTTGGCCTTCCAACCGGCATCATCTATTCCTTCAAAGCTACTAGACAAATAAAATTATTTATAGTTATATTTATAGGAATTATAACTATTATTACTTACATTCTGTTCAACTGTTTACTGGGCATATTGAGGTTAATCCCTGAGTTATTGTGATTTGTAGCAAGCATCTAAACTTCTTTAAGGTTCTAAGGAACCAACGTGTATACACAAAAAAATTTGTTTTAATTTATGATAAAACAATCACTGTTTAACACTAAAACGTGTCTACTTAGACTTTATTATGTACAACAAATAAAAAAATAACGAACATTTAATAAAAATACCATGAAGTATTCACTTTTGTCTTTACAAAAATGTAAGTTAAATTATAGAAAACTTATTTCACTTATGAAAATAATGTCTTTTTTCTTAGGTTGATATCACTCTATCAATGAAGAGCTACAAAAAGCTGATTCGAATGAAGAACGTTTAATAAACCTGAAAGAAAAATTAAAATCAACAATAATACATAATAACCATTCTTCTATATAAATAGAAATACAGAATAAATAATCAAACTCCTAATTTTAACTTTTAAATTGTCAATTAAATATTTATCAAGACATTAAAATACCTATAATCTAATATATCAATGGGTTTTACCACTAATATCTGTTGATACTGAACAAGTTAAGATAGCTATAAATTGTAATATCATATTTTGTAAGACATTGTTGGATAATACTATTATTAAGGTTATGGTAAAATTTTACTTTCAGAAACTAATACAAATTGTTGATTTATCGAATGTATATTCAAATGGAACAATATCTGCATGTAGGATAAAATTATTACTCATGTCATGGGTGCTGAGTTTGTTAAACCAAGTAAATATTATAAATTATAAAATAATTTAAAAATAAGACTACTATAAATTTAATATTTCAATACTTCTATATCTAGTTAAAAAAAAAAACTAGTTAGAATTAGTCATAAAAGAAATTTAATGTCAAAATAATAAACGAATAGAACACAATATAATACCATTTAATTTTATATGTTACTAAGATAAATTTTGTATTTAAAGAGTACCAGTTTGTTTAAACTATCCTATTTATAAGCCTAATTTTAAACTAGAATATACAAATACTTCTTTGTGCTAAGTTACTCTTATATAAATAATAAAATTGTTACCATCAGAACTAAGTAGATATGACATAATTTATACATATATACATTTAATTAATAATATGAATGAGTGCCTAATTAAAATTTCAAAGTAAAATTTTTATTATCAAATACTGGTTAACAAAAATATAAATTTATTAACAAATAAAATCAATAAATAAATACTAAATAGATACTTGGTATTTACATACTGTTTCATTTTCAATTCTTGAATAATTTTACTAACCTACACTTAAATAATTATAATGAAATTTATAAATATGTGAAAAAATATGCTACAGTAATATAACTTTCAAAAATACACAATTAAAAAAACAACTGAAGATTATTTAAAAAAATCATCCCATATCATAAAACCTGCGAATTTATTGACAATTATAAATTGACTAGTATTATAGAGTATGGCAAGTTAGAAGAAGATACACGCGGTAGATGTACATATGCGGCTGGTTTGTCGATAACAACTGTAATTATCATTTACCTCAATACATACTAGGGATAATGAATAGCCAAGGTACTTGACGAATTATTACGTGAACTCGATATCGGCATGAAGGATATTATACAGATGATTTATCGTTACGGCCGTGAATTATAACAATTCATCAGCTGACTCCGAATATAATTAATAAAGACCAAGCAGTTACAACGATCGGTTATTTGAGAGGGTGACGGAAAAACCCATCGAACGATCAGATAAGGCGACGCCGCAAATTAAAAAACACAAATATGCAAGACCTTCCCCCCCCAAAGTGGGCAGTTATTAGTAATTGAACTGTCGTAGAATACGAAACACTACGTTCTGGGTCAGTACCAGGAAGTAGCACGCCATGTCTGGCACGAATTTGGAACACAAAAACGAACGTTTCGCGACAGTTGAGTGCGTCACGAGTTTGGCTGGCTAGCGGCCTAATGTCTACGAATATTCCTCTACAGCCATTACTGGAAGCCAATGAGTTTATCAGACTACGACGACCCCAACAATAACAATAACATCACGTCACCGCGGTGACAAAATGGCGGCGGTCAGGTGTTCGGTGGACAACGAGGTTTCTCGCCGGCGCCACATCGGTACGTGCAAACACGAAAATACAACTTACCAAATCTCACAGCGGAATGTCCACGGGTGGCTCGCGTTTCGTGTTCAGATCGTCTGCCAGGCGGACGTCGTCTTTCGCAGTTCGGTTCGTTTTTCCAGAAAACGGGCAAAAAATATCATATATAGTCGCACAATCAACGTAATACGTATAAATGACGTCGCGCGAAACAGCGAAACGGTCGTAACACTCACAACAACAAAACGTTCGTACCTCCACTCATTCCCCGTCATCCCTTCCACGCACCGCGCGATCACGGACGCATCCCCCACCACGTGCCGCACGGTTAAAGTAGATGTTTTCCGTGTACACTTGATCCCGTGGGGCGCAATGTACGTCACTCTTTTGCGGCGGCTTTGCAGTGTAGCCAACCGTTAGGCCGTCGGTCTAGAAGCCCGGGACGACGGCGACGAATGGCACTGTACGCCCCTGGCCACTTTTGGCGGGACGTTTGACGACGACCAGCGACGTAAGCACGTCATCACACGCAAACATTAATTTTTTAACGCCGCAGTGGCGGCACTCACGGGTAGTCAACGTGCGCTGTGACGTCGTAACGACAAGTTTATGAATTTTATACTTTTATATTATTATTATAATGTTTATTAAATTATCGGAACGTCATTAATTTGATGCCACGATGATAGTTGTTGCGTACGACGATGCCGTTCACTCCGGTGACTTGAAATTATTTAAACATTCACACCATCAACTATACGTTCATATGACCATACAATGGCCTATAGAAACCTGAACTTTTATCTGTTTACGTACATTTATTGATTTTATTTTTTTATTTAATGTTCAGACCGCGCTTCACTGTGCATTGAAACAGAAACTTTGAACGTTTATTCCAACCATTAGAGTATAATGTTCGCGATACGTAGGTAAGCGAGAGTAATTTATATAAATAATAATAACAAATATAATAGATGAAATATATCACATTTATTTACATATTATTAAACTAATATACATATATATATGTGTGTGTGTATTTAATAGGTAAATCATAGTTGAAACAATTGTATAATTTATTAAGTGTGTAGTAATGTTAAATATACAGAGTGACTCGTTAGAACTTTCAAATTTATTTTTTCTTTAATTATGATTTTTTTAAAAATATTTTTAGTATATCTAATAAACACCATATTTTTAAACACATAAATATTTAAATATTTTATAGTTTTTATATTATTTAAGGAGTATTCTGTTACGTCTGTATAAACTATTACTTTTAAAGTAGTAAATAAAAATTTGCTTTCATTTTGACACCTACTTCAAAACCGAAATACGAACATATAATTTCTGAATTATTAAAATATAAAATATAAGAATAGTATATTTAAAGGTATGGAGGTTATAATTATTTTAAAATTGGAGTGATTAATAACAACTTATTAACATACCTTTATAACTTTATGATTTGTGAAAATTATCTGAATATAGTGATTACCTACCTTTAAATTATAAAAAGACATAAATTTCTAACTAGACTGAATACCTAATACGCATCTATTTAATATTTTATATTATATCACCGTTTTTATTAAAATAATTAACTATCATTACTAGTCATTAGTACTCATTACTAGTAAACAACATGTATTTACTTCATATTTAACTGTAAAAGTGCCTTCACTGGAAGGTATCTTTAATCCGTCCTTCACGCCATAATTACCATTTCATCAATTTCACTTATTGTTTTAAATTTATGTAACAGATTGTGGAAATATAAATAAAGTAATAAAAAAAAAAAAAATATTTAATTTTTATTAGTTTTAAAAATTAAGAAACTTTTCGTCTAAATTGATTAAGATATTAGATACCTCAAAAAAATCATGTACCTAAAAATGATTTTAAAAAAGGGTGGTTCTCATTCGAATAAAAAAGTTTATATCGTTACTACTACTAAAAAATGCATTAAAAATAACCAAGTATAAAATATAAGTATCAACAAACACAATTAACTAAAAAATTCTATTAATCAGAGTTTTAATAAATGCAGATTTCTTTGCAAAGTGAGAATTGTCTGTCATTTTATAATATTTTTTTTATCTAAAAAAATTTAGTTAAAACTAAAAGTTCCATGATGACATGTAGTCTTCAAAGATTCTTATATTTTTTGTCCGAGTCGAGTACTTTTTCTGCCTTTAAAATACAAATGATTTTTATGTACAACATGTATAAGTATATATATAATAATTAATACTATAAATTATTACATTATTTTTAAAAACTTGCACTCAGGAGTCTATGTCTTCATTTAATTCAAAGTTGGTTGTCATTCTAAAATTTTATATAATATACGTATAAGTATATAAAAATGAGTACAATGATATTATGGTTCAATAAATATTCACTATTTATCAATGTATCGAAATATTCATGAAAATGTTTTGCTCCAAAATACAAAATTAAAACAGGGAAAGTAGATAACCATTCTACTGTTATAGTAGGTATCGAATGTACTTCGTCATTGAGTAGGTCACTGTAATGTATATTGCGTTAAATTTAAATTCAATAATGAATCACTGAACACGATAAACGATGCTGGACGGAAATGGTTTGTCAGCCTATACTACTAAGTATATTTTAATAATTTTATCAAAATAAACTTGTATTAATATTACTATTATAGTAATTTATTTAATAACATGTAATCCGTTTTATTATATAGCATTGCATTTGGCAATTTTATTATGTGTGTAAAATAGGTATAATAGCTGTATACGTTAAAAGTTTTGAGTGCCAATAATATTTTTAAATTGCCACAAAATAATTAAAATCCTTATTCTATGTGTAAATGTCTAATTTCATCCAAATTTGAACTTAATAAAGTGAAACTTCCTCTAATGGCTAACGCCTAACGGACACCTCCCAATAGCGAACGTTTTTAAGAATGTAAGAATTTTCATTATTTTTCAATGAGAAAACTTTCGAGTAGTGGATACCAATTTTATTATTAATTTGAAAATAGTGACAAAATAATAGAAAAACGCGTTTATACTAGTATACGTATATATATATATATATATATATATAAGTAGTATAACAATAATAAACTCGTTCAAACACCTGATTTTCACACGAAATTGAATTTTATATCTATTCATGTATCCGTGTATGCATTCCTTATTTTTTATATTTTTTAAAATATATATTGTTAACATATTAAAATTATTATATCATTAAAGTATTAAATAATAATAATTTTTTTTCATTTTACTAACATTTGCCTTTATATATTTCAAAAATTTATTCCTTTAAAGTAGCGGATAGAATTTTGATGACTAAAAGTCTTCCCTATTCAGAGGTTTTATGTATAAATATTAATTGTATTTATTTGTCTTTTATATTTTATTAGTGTTAGCTATAAATAAGGAATCTTTTGTTTCATTTTCAAGCTTTTTGATTAAGAAAATATTTTTCAACTATATTTATGGAAAAAAAAAAAACTGAACAAATATTGAAAATGTAAAATTTCTATAAATAGTAAAAATGTCAAATTATTTTAAAAATTACATCATTTATAATTTTATAATTTAATCACTTATTGAAAAGAAAATACATATTTTAAGTTAGAATTTCAGGTATTTCAGTTATTTATTTTTAAATTACACCAAAAAAATAAAATATATTTTGTCAAAATTTGGTTTTGCTCAAAAATTCTGGTTTTTTAAACTTTTTTTTTTTTTTACTGATTATTTTCATTAAAAACAGATTTTTTAATTATTTTGCCTTCACAAAAGTACCGAATAAATCCAATTTGCTACCAGAAACACTCCTAAAAAAGAAAAGCTAAGCATTTTTTTCTACTGTACATAGTATAAATGTGTAGGTAAACATATACATATAAGAAAAATAATATCTAAGAAAAATTAATACTACAATAATGATTTGCTCAGAATCTAAAATATATGTTGACCATTAAAATAGTTAAAAACATAACTTATACATAACTTATATCAGTTCTCAAACTATCTAGTAAAATAATTTATATATTTTTTTTAATTTCAAAAATGTGTTGGTATTTAGGTATAGATAATTAATGTTAAGATTGAAAATAATCATCTTATTCTAGTGCGTATTATTTTATTGTTACATTTGACAAATTATAAAAAGCTGTGACATTAAATATTATATAATTTAGGTACTAAAATACGATTGGTGAAAGTATACATTTCAACAGACAACACTACAATACTACAACAGTGACATTATATTTTTAGGTGGGAGGTTAGTGGGTCAGCTTAACTATAATATATTAGCATCCGTAAAAAAACCATGAAAAATAGATTTATTTTTATGGTACACCTGAAATTTAGACCATTTAAATGATAATATAATTACTTATCTATAAAATAAATATTGGGTGAATTAAAAAAAATATATTTCATATTTGTGTCTTAGTGCTTAGTGAATTAATAATCATATTTAATGGTCAATTATATTATTTATATTAAATGATAATGTTTAAATTTAACCAAATATAGTTTATTAAGCATTAACCTATAATTAACCTATAATCTATATATTATCTTAGATTAAATATACTTAATCTATGATATTATTCACTATTGATAATAAAAATAGTTTCCCACTTTCTAGTTAAAATAATTTATTTGAGAATAAATCATTTTTTTAATTTTTACTAATTCGTAAGTACGCGTACAATGAATATTAAATAAGTAAATAAAATATGAAAAATTTAATTATATTTTAATTATTATTGTACATCTACTTTGGCTACTTTGTGAAATGTTTTTCACCGAAAATTGCAAAAATAATAGTGTTTAATAGTTTATAAGATAAGATTATTTCATCTAATAAAAAAAAAGTATTTTGACAATTAATTAAATAGTATTAAACATTCCTTGTTAAATTATTATTATAAACAATCCAATTAATAACTATGTCATTGTATTTGTATATTTAAAATTATTTTGTATTTATTTTAAAATAATATTCTAATGTTATTATTTATTTATTTTATCATCAGCCAAAGGTATAGAGAATATTATTTCACTTAATGTCCTTATTATTTAAATTATTGTAGGAACAATTAGTTTTACTATTGATTTTAGAAGAGTTTATTTTATAACCAATAGTTTTACGTCTTATACTCACTTAAATTTAATAATTATAATTTATTATTCCATACGATACAAACTCTGGTTACCTATATCATATTTACATAGTATGACGATTTTTTTAAAAAGAACATGTCTTATTTTCCTTAAAAATTTAAGAGATATTTTTTTTAGATAATTTAAAATTAGTATTATACGATTTTTTTAAAATAAAAATGATATTTTTGATTATTTTTTATCGTCATAATTTTTATATTTTTACTAATTTGGATAAAAGTATATACAATATTCAAAAAAGCAATATAGAAAAATCGCTTTTTTAACAAATAGGTAGTAAGTTAGTTTTTACTTATTTATACTGATGTTTAGATTGAATAAGTGAAATTAAGTGGAAAATGTGAATCTATTTATATCAAATGTATGTCTGTCTTATGCGGGATTGCAAAAAATATATATGACACTAGTATAATAAAAATTAAAGTATACCAGGTATACTATACCTATTATACTAGTATAATATCTAAAAACATATATTTCCAAAAACGATCAAATTGTTTTATAAAACGACTGACTTAGCTTTAGAATAATCATTCTGTTAATAATTTTCAAACATTTTATACTACCTATAGGAGTATATATTATTTTACTAACAATATACATACATTTTATATAAATATAGATTATATAGAATATTTTTGTTAATACTTTGTTCTATATTTATTAAAATTGAAAACTTAATGTACACTGAAATGTTTCAATAATGATAATGCTGAAAGGAGTCCTGTATATTATAA